ATTCAATATTTAACGCGAAGAAATACCTAACGATGGAGAAGGCGCGACTAATGAATTGAATAGACTAGAGTTGATCGAACGGCATGGCTCGGCCATGCAGGCGTGGTCTCTGCTGAATGTTACCTTATATCTTCTTTTCATATTAAATATATTGTTCTTTCTCTAGCCTAACCTTGTTCTACATCATGTATTGGTAATTGATACGATACAGTGAGTTGGTGTAGTCGATGGTGTGACTTCCACGTAAGATCTTATAGATTAGGCAGTCATATCATGACAAGTCTACAAATTTAGGATTAGGTCTATTAATAAAGCAGTACTAATATCATAGTAGACCATAAATTCTACAGATCTCCCTTTGGGCACTACAGAGATACCTTCATTCCTCATACATAGCATGAGCAATGCAGAGAAAGCAAACGCCAAGTGTCCATGACATGACCTCTCCACTTTCAGGAGAATTTATAGTTCTCATATTAAATTGTCATAAATATAGCATCCTGCTAAAATTTGTTTCAAAAGCTCAATAGATTCAGTTAAGATTACTTCAACTCGGCCAAACAGAATAAACCAGTTGTTTATATTTATCATTTCTCACACGACTGCTTTCCGTAAGAATAAGCTACTAGGCCCTACCAAAAGAATAAAGCTGTTCACAGACAATAAGCTCCTTGAGTTTGAACAGATGGATAGTGACATCATAAATCTCTCACGATCCCACTAAGAGGGGATGCTCGGATCAGACAATTCTGCGAAATGTGTAGTTTGTGAATACTTGAGGTTGGTACTGATAATGTGTGTTTTACTGTACACCAACTGGTTAATTATGTTCGGTAGAGTATCACTACAAGATCATGTTTTAAACTTCCACATATCGCTTCATCCACTCTTGATTATTAGAAGAGAAGCCTCATTTTACGTTATCTGAACAAGTAAGTCAAGCGAAATCTTCCGACAAACCAAAATCGACTTACTCCTGGTTGCCTGTCAATTAGTACGTTAGAAGATGCTCGCAAACAAACGTTATCACATTCTGTCAAGTTTGAGTTATCTTATGACAACAACTCTTTGCATCATCATGCAGCATATCTCTTTACTTTAAAAAGAACATCTCACTTTAGAGGTCGGTTCAAAAGAGGATAATCGAAAATGCATCTATATTATTAAACAGACTTTGATGCTCTCACATGGTAGCGTTATGGTCGTAATCAGTCTACTACCGGAAGATGATAAGTGACATGTTCACAATGTTCTGTAACGTTTAACCTAAGTGATCATGAATAAATTTCAACACTGAGTGATATCTATAAGGGATTTACCTATGCATAGGACATAGTAGACGACTCATTTTTTGACAATCGTTTATAAACCACATCATCCATTCCCGTGAAAGACACAAATGGCACATTCTGTCAATCACTTCAAAAGAAGATTCGAGTAATTTTTGAGATTTGTTGATAATAAGAAAGGATTCTTCTCAGTATTATTAGCCAACTGATCTTAAACAAATTATTTAGTATTTAGTTCTTTATGAAGGTTGTAGTAAATTATGAGTTGTACCGCAAAGCACCGAATTTTGACGGTTTTGTGACACTGATTGAGGTTGTAGCGTGGAGTCGAGTCGAGGTTGACTATGAGCACCACTACAGGGAAACGCGTACCAAATAAATCATAAGGTGAAGATTGAACGTAACCAGATTTATTCGTTGGTGACCTCGTGGTATCGAAAGGATACCGAGATCGTGCCTAAATGGTACAAGCGGAATCAGCGGGCAAATGTACGAACGTACAACCTTACGATCCGCGGAAAAGTAATGGAGAGTAATGGAGGAGGAATATGGTTGTCTTTAGCATAGTTAAACAAATGAAAACAATAAAACAATCACTGGTACAACTGGTTATAATAATAATTGTTTCAATTAAGTCAGTCGCGTTCTCTTGGTAAAAGTAGTGAGGATGATACAGGTATTCAGTGTTTGACAACGCTTCTACCAGTAACACCTTCTAATATGCTTTGTTCCCACCGAGAGAAATCAAAAGACAGAGTCGAGGAGATCGGAAGAGTGTATTTGGCGATAACCAATATATCGGGAATCTCTGATTTAATCTGGCTAGTGATTGCGGTTGATGTTGAGCACAGCGTTACAGCACGTGATCTGGTGCGGATGCATGACCGAGCGCCTTCAGCTAGATGAGTCCATTAAAACATATGGTCAGCATCCAATGTCGAAAACCTATTGAGCTATTTAGTTTGGGGATTTATTTACCGCTACAGATCACTCCCCCCCTATTGCGGCAGTGATGACCCTAAGACGTGGCCAGCCAGAAGTTTAAACCCAACGAGTTTGTCGTTGGTAAACACTCTTCTGATAGCTTACTAAATTTAGCAGCGTCTGGTCGTCTTTCCTTACTATATGGGACCGGGGTACAACATAGTAAAAAAAAGAAATGTACAATGAAAATTTCGTATCCTCATAAACGTCATCGTTCTTTTCCAGCCGTCCAGGAAAAGAAGAAAGAAAGTGTAATTGCATGTCGAAAATACACTCGTATGTGCGTAAAAAAGGGAAAATAAACTCATGAACACGTAATAGCGTTAAAAATTGTTTTTTTTACCGCTACAGTAGGTAACTACAAGGTCGCGAAATCGGAAAATTACTTTAAAAAGGCAGTAAAAGTCAAACATATACAATGTTTTAGATGGTTCATACACTACCTGATGTGTGAAATGGAATTACTAAACTAGAGATAGGTGAAAGTACATCATATGAGTAGACTAATCGGATTCCGGCGCCTATTTTGCCACCTCAAGTGACTTGAGAGGGCGAGACTAACATTTAGGAATGAACTGATTATACTAAGAAAAGAAAGCCTTTCGTTTTGACACGGAATTCACTCATCCATATAGTTATAGCCGATATAAGTTGAGGATGTAAAATTTAGTTCCTTACTCCAAATCTTATTCCTAACTCGCCATACTGATGTGTGACACTTTTTGATGCTAGTAATGTGAAGAGTTGTCCCAAGGTCACTTCACTGCCGCGCAAAGGTCATCCATAGGTATGATCTAGCGTCAGTTTTAGGTACTGTTACGTTCATGTACAGTTTTTATAAGTTAAATTCACTCGATCAGATGTGTTGAATTAAACTGGTCCATCACTGTGCTTATTAGCTTCCTTCTAAATCATTTTTCAGATCGCCGTTCGTTCATACATGAACAAACCGTTTGTACAAACGGTGACTACGTGTAATCATATAGATTCATCAGTATCACGTAATATTGTTTAAAAATGCTGAAAGTCTGGGCAACATGAAATGACTAAAGTAACCCTAGGAAACCGTAAAAGAGGGAATGAACGCAAACTAGGAGGAAATAAAGTTGACCATAGAGTAAATAAAGAAGAAAAGTCGATTCCCCCTTGACGTCTATTATTTGGGGGGGGGGAGGGATGTCGACAGTAATGTTTGGAGAACCATGTTATATAGATGTTGGTTCACCTAAATCCATATGTTACATTGAACTGTTAGTAAGAGTATCGGATTCTCCGCTTTAGTAAGAACTTTTTTGTTCAAACAAAAATATAAACTTCTAGTAATGATGAATATCATCCAAAAAATACTCATTGCTTTTCCTACCGCCAGGGTGTTTTAAGTACTTTGACGTGGTTACTTAAGCAGCCATTTAAAAAAAATTGATAACTTTTTCCTCAAATTGTAGTAAATTCCTTCAAAAAAGCATGATTCATGCTAAAGTGGACAGGAAGTTAAGCAGTTTCCCAAACTTGACAAATGGTAGCTCACTTTAGATCGATTAGACCTAAACTTAACAATTAGTATATTGATGCATATCCTGGGAGCAGCACTTGTCACAATTCTATTATTCAGAGATGTCAGAAACTAACATAATACTATATTACTGAATAACGTTACTTGTAAGCTGTTTGGTGAGGGTGAGAAGGAAAAACCTGGTGGTTAATTATTTTAAGATTCATTTCTCAATATCTATATCTTTGGGATGACCATTAAAATGAGCTCTTCTCCACTATAAACAAACAACATTCACCAATCCTCAAACCATTTATTATAATTTAGTTGCTGCGGCAAATAATGACTTTACTGCAGTTTGAAAGAGACTATCTCGGCATACACATATGGTTTCAATCCTACTTGGACAGTTTATGAAATTTTGAGGAATAAAACATTTTGTTTGTGGAAAGTATCGTTATTTTAATGACAATTTGCAGGTGACAGTGACGAACTTCTTTTTCGCTTTTAGGAATACTACTACAAGTGTATTACCGTATATTCAAAACAGTACTAAGATCAATATAATGTGCGAAAAGGTACCGTACGATCCAACTTTCATGATTTATTTATTTTCACTGTCACAGACACCAGTATCAAACCAAATCAATAGGAATAAACATGGCATGTGGTAGTAAATGCCATTAAAATAATTTAGGCTTTATTGAGACGATACAACTAATGGTAATTAAACTGAATAGTCCATTTCTATTTCATTGGAAGTCGAATGACTTAAAAACTCTATCTTACAATTGCTTACATTTTAAGTAACAACTATTCGTATTTGTTAGCGTTTGCTGTTTTTACACGAGTTTGTTATTACACTGGGAAGAAAACTTTTGCTGGTCATTTGTTTCGCTTTTTGAAATCAGTTCATTAGGTTTTTGTCAGTAGTTTGATTACGTGAACAGTTTTTAGTCAAACCCACCATCTATCAGTATTATACTCATCATAACAACCAAAACGGTTTAATCATAGAACCTAAAATACATTATTATAATAGCTACAGGCGTCCTATTCTAACCCAACTGGGAAACTCCAATACATATTATCTAGATATAGTCTTAGTTTTATTTGCATTTATCATCACTTTTTCATTCACTCCTTTTTCAGATCATTTGATGAGCGATTCACTGTATTAAATGGAGGAGCATTTGTTAGTCCGTAAAAATACACACATTTACGGATGGTAAATCATGCGTGAAGAATTATTGCAGGTATCTTTCGTTAAAAAGTAAATCAAGCTTCTGTATAGAAGTTACATTCTCTTCAGGAGCGCAAACGTCTTATGTGTTCTCGTTCGACGAAGATCCGAGAAGTTGAATTAAAAAGGAAAATAATTAACGATGGTTAGTAATTTCTTACTGTAGTGACTAGAGTTGTCCACATATAGTTCTAGAAATTGTGCCAAATTCATCAGCGACTGCTACATGCCTCCGGGCAATTGAATTCGAGGTAAATAAGCAGGATATAACTCTGCGACCCTGGAAACAAAGAAAATTGATGAAGTCAGTGGATTCGACAAATAAAACGGTATAATAATTTTTCTTCTACTAACGATAATATGATAGTAAAATTCATTCATACTTTCCACTAATAGACTTGGTTGTTTTCATTAGTATATATATATATATATATATATATATATATATATATATATATATATAATTGAAATACAAAGAAATATAACCATCAGTGCTTATGTCTGACCTTTATTAACAGTCGAAGCCATCGGAGTGTTTATGATTTCAGTGCTCATTCAGTAAATAGTCTATCATGAATTCCTGTTCATTCTAACTCAAACTAGCATCATGGTAGCATTTTCATTCCTTGTGTGTCACATTTCGTCAGTAGTTCAATACATGACTCTGCAAATATTAAGCTTTAAAGTATGTAGTGTTTTATTGATACAAGTTTCACTTTATAGTACTTAGTTTTCATGCTATTAGGTAATAGTTTCAGTACTTTGATGTCCAATCGGTACAATACTTTAGTTTTCTTACAGCTTCATATATGTGGTATTTGGATTTTCAACTTGGTATCTTCTGCCTGATTTGCTGTCCCTAAAACATTTTAAGTTGCACTGTTTATTCTGGTCACACTTTATAACGAGTATCTAATCTTCAGACCTGGGATTTTGTAAGGGCAATACCTTTTGCAGAATATCGGTAAGTTTCGATAGGTACGAAACCCAGTTCCATCTGTTATGGTTTTCATTTTAGGTAAATCAAATACTATCTATTGTCAGTGTCTTTTTTAAAAACTAACTGTATGACTTTTCTTATCCAGTCTCTCCTCGCTTCAGTTGATATAAACGCATCTACTACTAAAGACCTAAGTCGTATTCATGCTGAAAGTTTACATAAAGGCACTTTAGAATGGCGTCTGAACCACGCAATCGATTCTGGGCAGGTTGACCTAGCAGAAAAGATAAGTGACTCCATTGGAAATCATGTAAGTTATATCATGTGGTTTTCCTGTTACTTTTGTACTCTGAATCGCATTTTATGCAATTACCCTTAAAAGGTAGATTTTCAAGTGTGGGTTCGGACCACGAAATAATTTATTCTCTCCTACTTTAATTAATAACTATTAGCGAACTCCTTATTCTGTCTTGTTTTAAAATTATTAACATATAGATGCATATATGTATACATATGCTCATGCCTATTTAATCTAGTTATATACATCACGTACATTCATACGACTAATTTCTCGATACCTGCTTCGGTTTGGGCACCCGGGCAGTATCACAGCCCTCACACATATCGAATGAGATTTGTGTGGCGCATATGTATTTGGTGCCTCCTTGTACCAATATCTATGTGTTAAAATAAATAAATAATTTCTCGATAAATTTGTGAATTCTTGGTGAAATAATGATATTCAGCGTTCATTTGTCTCAGTTTTATTTTAAAGCATATTAAAAAACACATTTAAAAACTCCAAAAATATTTGATTGTGTTTCTAAAATTCACCCTACCAACATTATTTAGAGAAGCTTTAAAATATTGGTGTCCTACTGATGTAAATCTTACTGAACGGTCTTTATGATGTAGTGACCCAGTAGCTACATAGAAAATAAAAACTCATATTCACCCCATAGACAAAACAGTTCTTGCTCTACGTACGCTATATATTCCTAATGTCCTGTGTTGGCAAATGATAGTTTGAATCCAATAATAGTGAGATTTATACTTACTATTTACATTGTATGTTACACGTAACATATCTGTAACTATAACAGCCTTTTGGTACCAAACAAAAGATTTCATTGTGGAATTTTGGATCTAGTTATATGTTATTGAAATGAGGTAAAACTTAAAGATAACCTGATCATATCATGCAAACACCATAATTCATTCTTAGGCAGCTGGTTTTAAGAATATTTAGACACTGAGAATACTTTAACATTGATAGTCATCTAAACAGTGTTCAGAACATCTGTATTGATTTAATTAGTTTAGTCTATATCTATTACTGAAGGATTATTACCCTGTTCCTCTCTAAATAATCAGTCGTAAATAGTGTAAAACCTAGCACATGTTTATCGGTTCGAGTTGAGACAACACATTTTAACGGTGGTTTAAAATTATCAAGATAAATCCCAGTTTGTTAGGAGTATTAACATAATCAGTAGTAATAGTAGAAAAGACTAGACATAGAGTTAAAAGATTAAAGGATTTTCGGACTCAGGATATAAGGATAGACAAAGAGCAGTTGCACCTGCCGCATTTCAACGATTCTCGGCTATTTCAGACAACAGCTTCAGCCACTGATTACAATATTCACGGAGATCTAACTAGGCGGTCTGCATTTACCTATATGGCTCAGTCGAATCGTCATGTCTCGGTTTAGTAGCCTTTAGCTTTCTTCCAATGTACTCATATAACAGTCATGATTGTGCGCCGCTATAAGTGGTGACTAGGGATATGTAAAGCCTCATATATGTCACAACCACCTCAGTTGATAACTCATTAACATTACCAATGGGTTCATCATCCTTATCTAGTACTCCGCGGCTAACCTAAAAATTGCTAACTCATAGTCCCAACATATGCATGCGATAACTCGAGAGAATCTGTGAACTGCGAATATGATCTGTCTCGTTCTCCGTGGTGGGATTCACTGAAATCCATATAACTTTGTACATATGTTTGAGTTAGAATATTGTGCCGCTTTAACCAATTTGTTGAATGCACATAGATTTGTAAATCTCTCCCCATTTTCATTCCTTTCTCCTATTCCATGTCTTCCCATGATATCTTCATATTCGATGTTGTCCATTCCGACTTTTGCGTTTAGGTCCCTCGTCAGGATGGTGAGGTCCTTTCCTGGGCAGTTTGTTATGATCGGTTGCAGCCTCTCATGAAAACGATCTTAATCGTCGTCATCGCTATCATTAGTGGGTGCATAAGATTGGATAATATTCATTGTAATTCTCTCCTTCGTTGTTTTGAAGGACGCTTTGATGATGCTGGATCTATGAGATTCCCATCGCATAAGTGCATTTCGTGTTTCTTTGTACAGCATCAGAGCAACTCCTTGAGTGTGTGAAGCATTTTCCTCTTTGTGACCGGAGTACAACAGCATCTCTTTGATATCTAGCCTTTGCTGTCCAGCTTTGGTCCAATGGATGTCACTGAATCCGAGAACCGTCAAGTTGTATGTCCTCATTTCCGTTGCTATTTGACTGGTCCTCCCGGTCTCCCACATTATCCGGACGTCCCGTGTACTAATAAAAATTGTTGCTCTGGTTGCTAGAAGAGGCATTGGCATCGCGACTTCCGAAGAATCTCGGCTTTCATCATGAGGCTTCATGATTCTTCCTTTAACTCGGAGTCAGAGTTTAAATGGTTTGATTTGTTTGATTTGGATGGCGTTATTTTAGCAAGATTGTTTTCTACGGAGTGGGGTTGCTGACCACATGCCCAACCCTCCTCTTTTACCAGAGCTTGAGACCGGCAGTAACTCTAGAAGAGCTGCATGCGTGGTTATATATATATATATATATATATATATATATATATATATATATATATATATATATATATATATATATATATATTAGTTCTGAGGAAAGGCTACAAAGTTTCTCCTTTTACCTTATTCTCTCAATCCTAACACGTGTTTCTTAAGAAGAATTACTTGAAATACATGGAAAATCGGATGTACAATCTTTTATATCATAAATTGTTTGTTCATCTATTTTCGACATCGTAACTGGATTCAGTTAAATCATAAATACAAAGTAGCGCATCTTAACTGTGTTTTTCCTAAGGAGAGTGTCATATATAGCATACTGATTAAAATTTCTTTGATAAAAACCTCTAGTTTGTATAGTTGCACTACTCGCTTAAATAAAAATTGCAATTTATTAGCGTATTTTATGGCAGTCTGTAATATTCATGACTTTCATTCGTAGAGCACGTAATTAATGGGAATTCACAAATAATTTTCATTATCTTTTCCTGATTCATAGTCTATATGTTTTGAAAACCCATGTTTTACATGAACAAAATATTTATTATAAGATGTTTTATAACAAAATAGGTTTGACATCAGAAACTACTGCTATGCTCTGCGGTTGTTCGAGTTTGCTACTGATAAAAAACACGCTTAATATATGTAGCCAAATCAGCTACTTGAGTGTGAAAACCGAGAGTGAGTAGGAATTTTTTATTGGCTAACCGGATCAAAAATTTATACACAACTCATAAATATATGTCCCTCAGAAAATGAAGCCACATTTTCAATCTGTAGCGTATGTTTATTTACTTGAAAAGTCAGGCAGAATCTTGGTCAATAACGTGCGCCCGTCAGCATTTCTCACTTGCCATCTAGCCTATGTCTGATTGACTCAGCGTACCAATTATTTCTAATGCTGATCCTCAGTTGCTAAGTCCTGAAAGATTACCCTATGTTTATCAAATACTTAATTCAGAAAGTATAGCTGGTTCGACAACCGTAATACATTAATAATACAATCCATTCAAGTATAAAAATAGTTCATAAACAGTAATTTATTATGTCAGTCATTCTCATCCACCTCGATTTTTTCTCAAATCCACAGTTGTTGTCTACAACTTCTTCCGACAAAAATATTCATTTGACTTTGAGCAAGCAAGATGAATACAAAGAGGAATTAAAAAATCGGCGACCTGTTTGGCTGTAAGTTTATACTTTATTGAGTCAATTTTTCCCATGTTTTATGTTTTTTTTATGTAACACCATATCTGTAACTGTTTGTCTGTCTATTTTTGTCAACTTTGAAAATTAACAAGGTTGCTTTTTATGTGGTAAAAGACTTTTATTACAGTATCGATAAATGTAAAATCAAAGATGGATATTCATTAGTAATATTGTATCGTAGTGATGGCCCCATATTATGAATTTACTAATGCTAAGAACCCCTGCCTAATACATCATGACAGTTTGATTACAAAAGTCATCCCGTAGGATGCACTGAACTCCTCATTCACATGATAGATGGGTGGCTTATTTCCTCAGTAATACAAATTGTCTTGTTAACACACACCAATTCACATCACTTGTTGCACTCAACTGATTGTTCCGTCTAAAAGCTTACTTTTGAAAAGCTAAAGGGAAATATGTACCACACAAACAAACCACATATACGTATTCATCACTTTGAAGCAACAAGTGCGTATACGCACTAAGTTTTATAGACGACTAACACAAATTCTTTTGATGAAATTTATTACACAGGAAGTAAATTTATCTGATAAAGTTGTCTACATTCATTCGATGAAAAATCAGAATAAATTCTACTCAGGATTAGTCACAACCTACTCCGATCTTCATTGTTAAGTTAGACATGAGAAAGTTTTAGGTTGGCCAAACCAAGTCTTTTTGCCAGCTGATCATCAGTTATCATCTCTTGGTTTAAATTGTTTGCAAGAGTTCTAAACATGTTTATGATATTTGAAATATAAGGGATTATTTGTTGATAATTTAAACGTCATAGTTCAGTAAGATGGTTGCGGAAATTTTCAAATCTTTTTAGACTCAACTACAAACATTTCATATAAAAGATGGATTGTGGCTAGCAGCGAAATACAGGACACGCATTTTGTCTTGTTGTAAACTCGTCTGCTGAATGTACGTGAATCGCATGCATCCAGCTGACGTGTCCCATGCGAGACGAAACAATCGTTCTGAATTTAGTTCTAGCCAAAACCTATTTATTCAGTAAAAGGTTGTGAAAATGGATCTATCGAGGCTATCCGCTCAGGGTGTATATATTCCAATTAAGACTAATAAAAAAAATCAGCCAAGATGTATCAGTAACGAGATAATTCAAGTCTTTAATTAGGTATAAGGCATTTGTTTATTCAGTCCTTGGCTTACCCTTCTTTCTAGTTCGTGCCTATGTTTTTTATTTATCAAGTACAGTTTTATATACGAACCTGAGAACCACACGTTTTCTAAAGCTAGTGATACCATTGGGTTGCTTGTACCCGAAGTAAGAATCGAACTTTAATCTCCTGGTTGAAAGCTAGGCGCTTTAACCACTTAAGCTGACGCTCCACTTGAATTCTTGTGAATCGTTGTTTTCGTCTTTTTTTCTGTGTTACGAATCGAAATGTGAAAACTTGACCCATTATGATGTTGTCTACCTTATAATTTCATAGTTTATCATGAGAATACGATTCACTATTATGAACATTTATGAGGAATCAATATTCTACATTAAAATGTGACATGTTTTTCTCTGTTAATTTTATCTCTTTCTCATATTGTTTCACTTTTTGTGTGATTTTTAATTAACCAAAAATCCATGTATAAAGTTTTATTTGATTTAAAGTTTTAGTATTCAATCTCTAGTAAATAATTATTAATGCAAATTTTAAACAGATTTTTGAGAATAACTCTGTACAAAAGAGCAGTTTGAACGATACGCATGAGAAACAAAAACTAGATTCTTAATTACCGTGTTCGTAGATATAATCATGAAAATGAGCCAAATAGTATGTTTTATGAGGTTTGTAAATAAGAGAGCTGTAAAATCAAGGTTTATACTTTCCACTAGCATTTTGCTGCATATTTCGCGTTAATTTGTCATTTGTTGTATTGCCTTATGTTGAAGAACAGTAGATGGTTAGCTTAGTATGTCATGCTACTTATGCTAACCAGAAGAGCTAGATCAAGTCTGTTTGATGCGTGGTACCATATGATTCCTGATCCGTTTATGTGCTAAATTCATTATTTTTTCAAACCAATAACTACTTAGTACATATATTTTATGTCCTCATAGGAATACTTCATAAACATTGTCTTTATAATTATTGTACTTGACGTTAAATAAAGTTTCTATAATGTGTTGTTTTAAGCAGTCTGCCGTACATATGTAATGCTCCAGTGCATACTTTTGTAAACAAACATCGGAATTAAAGAGTATGTACTTTTATTAGTGCTAATTTTCCGCTTGGCTGCTTCTTTGTTTGTTAGCCCATATTTCGGCACCGTTCGTTCATTGTGTATGTATCTCCCCTGTTTCCAATTAGTTTTGTGTCATTTTAACTACATACTTCTTTGGCACCCCGCTGTCATATTTTAGGGGTTAGAGAGAACCATCATGTTCTTTGAGTGCTTAAATACGAGTACAGATTTCAAAACCGAATGGTGATTGAAATTCAATGTAAAAATTAAATATCTGAATTGGTTTCGGATTAGTGAACACAAACTAAAACGCTCTCATGATGGATTCATTCTATCAACATAAGTCAGGAAACCAGTAGGTAACTTGGATATTTTTAAACAACTGTAATGGCTGGTGAGTAGGAATCATCACTTACCAAAAATCTTTCAAATAATAATAAATATTATCAACAAATTAATGTCTCTAGACAATTTCGGCAGAATAACATTCGTATATTTAACGTATTCACAACTTCCTGAGGAAAGAAAAAGCTCTTGTGCCGTTGTCCAGATCAACCAATTAAATTTTAAACAAATTTTCATATCTGTTATACCAGACGTCTAATGTAATATCATTTTCGGGATCAGAAATAAAATCAGTGATTTGAAGTACCAATCTTCCTTAAATTTTCTCACTTTTAAGCATAAACTAACAAAAGTAAACATAAATGAATTAAGTATTGCTACCAAGGTGTTACTGGATAATTTCAAATGAATGAAGAACCAGGCGAATGATTTATAACAAAAAGAACAAAAATATGCTATTAAAATGTATCAATGAGTAAAATATTAAACTTCTGATATTTTGCGACTTAATATAAGTCACTTATTCAGTGAATATAACGGAAGAAATTCAATTTATTATTTATTGGGATATTACAAATTTATTATCATATTATTTATTATACGTCAATTAAGATGAAAAAAACCCACTGAAGGGTAAAACAAATAAAAAGCACAGAAATACTGATAACAGATTAACTAGATATACTTTATCAAGTTGTTACTGATTTATCACAGGTATATCCTCTGAAGCCAGTAAAAATAAGTTGAGTAACGGGAATTGTTATAATACAAATCACCAAAATTTCATTGTCATTTTGGAAACTGCTAACTGAAGTAACGCCTCATTCATGATGCTTTCAATCGAAGTTACACGCTAATGTAATATGATATAGTTAATGTTATCTGGAAATAAATTTTAATTAAGTATTATTTCACTTTTGTGTAAGTTGACTTCATGAAAAATTAAGATAAGTAGACAGATTGTTGGGTATTACATTCTTACTACCTAAGGTGGATGATTTCGTTTACTATATTAAGACTATTCTGGTCAGAACGGACAAGCCCTTTTTTCCTTAATTCAATGTGAAAACTGTTCAGAATAATATTCGTTTTATTTTCAGTGTAATAATGTGATTTTTATTAAAGATAAGATATTCTTTATATCGATTTAACATGTTCAGCATTCGATTTTATCATAATTTCATATATGTGACTTACATTTAAATATATTAAAATAATTAAACAAAGTGTATGTATGGTAACATTCAATATTTTAATAGGTTATTATATGTCGATTTATTAAAACTATTAAGATCATTTTTTACAATATCGAACGGGACTTATTATCATAAATGTTGTTTTTAAAGGTATGTAGCTTTATCTAGGTCTTAGGAATCAAATGAGTACTAGTTGGTATAGAGACCTTTCAAGCCTTGTTGTGTTTCTGTATTAATCTATCTTAAAGTGTTCAAACCTGTGGGTAACATCTTCACTTTGCTTGGATACTGGTCTGCGTGGTTACATAATGCTAAGGCATAAAGTCACTTCTGGACATATTTCGTTTTTTTGCATGATTATATTAGTTAGTCAACTAGAAACAGACTAACGTTATCATGCTTTTCTCGTAGTTGGAAAATGATCGTGAAGTGGATATTGTATTATTTGGAACACTTAGTGCTTAATTTATTTTTGACGACTGTGTCATGTATATAATAATTTTAGGAATCAACATCACTTTATATAACAATGGTTTTATTTCTAGTTTTCAGGCTAAAGAACGGTGGGAAGCGAAATCGAATATGTAGTAATGTAGCTACCGCATCCAACAACATTGGAGATTGTACGAGGATCTTAAAAGCCAACAGTTCTGTTATAGTTTAATAAATTTCTAAGGAATAAACCAATATTTTACGCATATTTCACAATAATCACCTATTTACATAGTACCCAACATTAGATGCATTTTACTTAAAACACCACTTTTATTTGCCATGGTTTCACCTGTCACGTTTCAAAAACCGGACCGTAAATTTACTTAACTACTAAGTTATGTTACTCACTTCTACAAATTTCAGTTTATTATGTACATGATATTCGTTCCCTCTAACTCACAAAAATTCAGTAGATTATGATAAGATATTGCAGTTAATTGGATTATGTTGTTAGTATTGAGAATGTTTCATGTCAATGTGAAATTCGGACTGTCTAAGCGAGCTTGACAGCATTTTGAGTCGTTTTCATGTCTGCACAGCCATGTACAAATCCCATTATACTAATTGGATTCAACCAGTATACATCGATGTCTGTAGATAGTCTAGTCTCTTAGATAAATATTCATCCCCTTAGTAGGTCCTCTGATATTGCAGCTTATTTGCACTATGAAGAATAGCTACTTATATGAGGTATCCAAGGTGACAAGTGTGGGTAAAATATCACATCAAGCTTTTTATCTTTACTTCGTTGTCATTTTCATGATTAACAACTCTATTTTGTGTTTCTTTTATGCATCAGAAGGATCCAGAATTTATAGCCAATGTTTGTCGAGAAACATGCGAATCACATTTTCAACGTACCACTAAGATATCTATCAAAAATTATTTTATATACGATCACCCCGGCGAAGTGTTATCTATGCATTTATTACGAGGGCATATGTACTGTTAGGACTAACTACTAATGTCCTCAACTAGATTAAGGAGTTAATGTCTTCAATCTCATTATTATTGAAATTCCAGTGGAACTAATTAACTTTTTACAAGTAGCACAACACCTGTCTTTGGAATTCAAACTCGTTCCATGCTGTCACCTATAATGCTGCAATAAGTAGTGTCATGGTTGCAGTAAGTCATCTTAATACAGTCATATAATTACAGGTGTTCGGTATCAGAGACTTCAAACTAACATCTAGATCATATCTGACATAACATAAACAGACCTAATCACTTCAGCTTGGCATATCGACTTTTAATATCCTCAATGTCTGGTATCATTTACTATTTTTATAACGTCTTGATTTGTTGCTAAATAAAGAAAACATAATAGCTTATTAATCGAATTTTCAAGAGCATTTATTTATAAAGTAATACATCAAATTAATAAAGAGTAAGCTTACGAGAATACAATTTAGATTAAGAGGTAGCAAGATAAATGCTTGGAAATAAACACACAAGATAATCGATTAGACAAATTATGATAGGGAGACTAAAAAATTCTTACATTTGTACACTAAGAAAGACAATATACACAGTACTGACACTAGAAAAGGTTACAGTAGGTCATTTTTTTGATAACTGCCCAGATTCTATTAGAAAATCTTCGAAATCAGCTGCTTGTTCTCCATCTAATTCTCCTAACGATTCATCAGAAAGATTGAGTTTCGAACCGATTTCTTCATATACTTGGTTTGATTCCGTCCAATTTTGACAAGTGGTGTTTTGAACAGCAGCCAATTCGGAAGCGTACATTAGCAGGTCTAAAACAGTGGAACGGAGTATTTTTGTCGGTAACTGTTCTTCGACTAGTAGTGTGCGCATCCCACTTAGGCATTTATTTATTAACATTGAGAGATACGACGCAGATGTGCAATCTGTGGACGATTGATACGAGTCATTCTCCCGATCATCCAAACTACAAGTACGTTGCCAGGCACCATTAAGGACTCTCACATTGACACTTGCTAAAGCGGAATTGAAATACATAAGTCCGTGAGAGAAACCATCAAATAACTGATACAACAAGCTATCCCAGCTGTTTTCAGATAAAAGAGCGCACGATGCATCTAGTAGAGACAAGCCGGTTTCGTTCACTTCAGAGTTTTTCACTCTGACAAAATGAAGTTGGAGTTCGCAAACGGCATTCACAAGTAAACAAAAGTCTATACAGGGTTCAATGGGTGGAATACATACGTAGGATTCACAATCATCAGAAGCGTTTAGATTAGTAATAAGATATCTGAGGAACACAACCAGGCCAAAGAGATGATCAATTGGTAAGTCCATCGGTTCTTTTTGAACATCACTGGACTCCACACTCATCTTACAAGATGTGGTGGAGTCAGACAAAACATTTTCTGAGCTTAACATCAAAGACTTCAAAATTCTTCCAGATAGAACTTCTTGAGTCATCAACTTAACACTTTCCAGGACACCAGCTTCCAAACCATTCCCCTTTGTATCAGGCAAATAGGCTCGTACATCTTTAAAACACCGAAATCCCAGACTAACTCGTTTAACATTTTTTGTGGTCAACTCGGCAAGGATTTCTCCAACCAAATGAGATGCATGTGGTACATCAATCTCTGCAATTGCTTTAATCTAGAGTTAAGGAAATAACCCAACAAAAAATATGATTATGGTGAAAAGTTGAATTAAATTGTTACCCTACTTAGTAAAATACTTTATCCAACTAGGTAATTATTGTTTATTTTATTTAAACGCATAGATATTGGTACGAGAGGGCACCAGATACATATGCGCCACACAAATCTCATTTGATATGTGTGAGGGCTGTGATACTGCCCGGGTGCCCAGATCGAAGCAGGTAGTTTTCTTGGGGGGCCACACCCGGAGCCTTCGTCCTAAAGGTCTGACCCACAATACAGTGGAGCAACGCCAGGAGATGAAATTCCATAGTAGCCGGTGACCAATGATAGGTCCATACGCCATCTGTTCCCTCAGGATCCCGGAGCCAATGTACACCATTAGTTTGGACTCAGGGTTTTTCAAATTCTCTAGGTAGAATCTCTGTGTCCGCCAACCCGGTTAAAGAGCCAGATATTCGCTCTTTGTCCTCTCACTTTCATAAAAAGCATCCCTGCCACGAGAAGGAAGTGAGCAGGACTTTCCTGATAGTTGTTATATGCATGTGGCCATGTGAAAGCATTTCGAGAGTGAGAGTTGACTTTCCCCACTCTCAGCCGTACCAGGGCATTTATTGTTTACTCAAAGATAATAAAATACTCTGGATTGGTGGCGTAATAGTTAGTGCCTGACTACTAACAATCCTAGGTGTTTTTCCCTCACCAAAGCAGAAGCTAATCTTCTAGTGGCTTGTAGTCAGGTACATAAAATATTTACTTGTTAAATTTGCTTCTACGCATGAATTGTAAACATGCAGTAGGAACAATCATGTCCTGCCATATGTTTACGAAAAAGATCACACGGAAGTTAATTATGTTTCTAAAACTGTTCTTCAAATTAGCAAAACAAAAGACTAGAAATTGATAGTTGGCAATTTACCCTTTGAATAATATGTGACGTTGATAAGACTTCTAATACACTTTATCAAAATAACGAATCTACAGATGCTATTTGTTTGAGTGTATTATATAATCTATTAAAACAACTAAAAACCTTGAAAATAACTGATCAGGAAAATTCACACGATGTAAAACAAAATACCTATTGAGGTGCACACCAAAAGGAAAGTGAATTGCAAAAAGCAAAACTAAGTGACTAAAAAGTAGCATTATTGTATGTAAGTGTACGTTATTACTAGCCATAAATAATGGAATACTCGAAATGTATGGCCATATGCTACTGAGTTATCCTAATGCTTCAAAATACTGTGTTTGTGAGGACTAGTAAGGTTAGCTGGCAATGCAACTTGTATGTTTTCAAATAGCATAACTGTCAGTTGCATATTGTTTTCTCCCACCCTAACCCTAGACAATATGAACAGAAGCAAACCATCACAGGAAACTACCTATTTTAGGACGCACTACTGCATGACACCGAAATATGTAAGAACGACTTAAACGGTAAATAAAGTCAGTTTACGTAGTCACTGGTGATTGAAATCGTTGAGCTATGAGAGACAGCCCCTATTAATTTGTTTGCGTTATAGTACCTCATGATCGTACGCCTTCTGGGTGGTTAAGTTAGTCCTGCACTTACTTTCCAGATCTTTTGCTGAATTAAAGCCATTTAGGATCTGTGGTCTAACTAACCAGTAGACATAAGTTATAAATTGATAATGAACTATGAAAAACAGTTGTAAAGGTTCGAATGATAACCATAGGTAAATTAGAGTAACCGATAAATATTAGAGTATACATATATGATGAATTCCAAATTAGAAATAGGTCAAACCAATGACTGCGAATGTAAAGTCGCGCACTGCAACACAACAGTACTTACCGTCGGTACAAATACCTTTTAACCTAAAGGTACATTTGAATGTCTAATTATATGCTGATGTCTGACAGAATCGAAGGGTTAGGAGTAAATTTATCCCTAAAGAAATCAGAGCGAATGAAACAAATTCCGTTTGTCCCAGTTACTTTACTTTGGAATAAGTAAGATGAAAACGACATACAGTTATAATAAGCGGGCAATAAGAGGAAGAAAAATGATGAAATTCACAATGAAGGATCAGCACGGGTATTAACATACCGTTTGACCTTCGGCATTTACCTACAAGATTAGTTTATACATCTAAAAGATAACTGCACGTGGTCGCAAAATGTACATGTTCATATATCTACCGCCCTTCCAAAAGAAAATGATGTTTCGACATTTAGTCTATAGTTACCGATCTGAAATACCTTTAAGACCACACAGACCTGTTGATGTGTGCTAGGAAACGTCATAATTCATTAACTGAATTACATTCATGCATTGATAAAAAACTACTGACATGGAAGACAAACGTTTAAGTATAAATGAAACGAAATTCAGCGTTGAAACTTCTTGGTACTATTTATGTGAGTAATCAGAAGACAATTAGCAGTATTGTGTGATGACTTACTCTTTTCATGTGTGCTTGAATTTCTCCTAGAGGTACATTGAAAACATCTTCAACTACAGTTCTCATCTCTGACAGAGTTCTTTGCTTTATATCAGCCAGTGGTACAAACTCTTTTGCATTTTGGTCAAGTTTTGAAGATACTGGTTTGCAGTCAGACATTTCTGAAAAAAGCTACACATATTGGAGTACCTCAGTGTGAAACATTCAGAACAAGAAGTGTGAGTTAAAGTATATATTAAACAAATCAGGAAGTAACATATTATGCATGA